GATAAATTTGTATTATTTCTTACACAAGCACTGAAAAGATCTTTAAAAGCTATCCATTCTGTAATATTACCACCAAAAGTCGGTAATGTTACTTGGGTAATTTAATATTGTCAAGAACCTGTTCTGAATTACACTATTAGAATTATTTTTTATTATTTTGATTTTTAATATTTTTTCACCTTTAAATTTCCACAAATAAATTTATCTGTGTACTCCTGAACATTATCTATTTCGTTTTCTAATTCTTAGTATCTGTAATTAAGCTTTCGATTCAGAATCAAGCTTCCTTAACTCAGTTTCTTTTTGTTCAATAATTCGACACATTCCTCTAGTTCTATTAAATTAATTTCATCTGCAGTTAAAAATAGTTTCAATTTTCTTTACATAATTAGTAACACTCCTGCGTAAGACCGCTCTTTTTGTTTAAAAGTTATAAGTTCACTCATAATTGATCAATTCAAAAACAGAAATTGTTCTTAAATCACTTAACACTATTATTAAAATGAAATCGAATTCTATGTTGTATTACAACATTGTTCTTAAAATTTAACAACAAATTTAAACGAATTTTTGTTCAAAATCCACTTACCTCACAAATGGATAATTTTCACAAACCATATACATATTTGCGTTGTTAGAATACACTTAGAACAGTCACTATCTTCACTAGCTCTCCGGCTAGACTTTTGACCAACAATATGTATTCTATTAAACTTAATATGTTTCACAAACAATAATCAATCAACAAATGGACTGTAATTCCTACACTTTTATTAAATTACACTTATCAGCGATGCAAAATAATTGATACAAAATAAGCGAGCCATTCTACATGGCTGTCACAAACACAATTCTATCAATCAATTATCTTGTTGCCACACATAAAGTTCAAAACTAAAGGAAGAAAAGCAAAAGGAATTTACGCTGTTTGCAACAATAAAATGAAGCAAACGATACTCACATAAACAGTAACTATTCATTTCAAGCATAGTAATAAAATGTTTATACTTTGTCATATTACATCGATACCAAAAGAGAGCTATGCGTTTCATTACTTAAGAGTTTAATTACTAGAGAACTAGAGTAAGAGAGCATTTAAAGTATTTTCAGATGGTATTGCGGAACGTTTCATTATCTCAGTGTCTTTTATCCAGAAGCTTCATTTAAATTGTCCTAATTATTTCTTTAATTAAAAATAGTAAATACATTTAGTGAATATTTTTTTATCGAAAAAGTATTGATTTATTTAATGAATTAGCTAGTTAAAATACTAAGTAAAATTAATAGATATTAATTTCTCTGATTTAAATATTTTAAACATATTCAAGAAAACTCTTCTAGGGGCTAATTGTTTCTAGTTTGTAGACTTCGTGCCCTGGAAAAATAGAAGATATTCCTCATTCAGGAAGTGATCAAAAATAAATAAAATAAAATTACAGCTACGCCCAAATCATTTAAGGCTATACTTTGTTAAATAATAGCAGAAGTTTCCACATAGCATTAAACCGCGGTGAAATTGCATCATAACGAATTTTTTTGCACAGATTCGCTTTATCATTTTGAACAGTTTATTTTAAATTTAGATTTTATGTTCTATGAGCTTTAGTAATATGTTCTATAAGTAATCTATCTGAATGGACTAATTTTTAGACAAGTAGGATTATCGTAATTGCTTGATTTAAAACAATTTGAAGTATTAAAATGAATTCTGTATAAAAAGCTGAAAGTGAAATTTATTTTTAAGCTCGAGACTTTTTATGTTTTTATTTTTTAAATGTACCTTAAACTTTTGAAGTTTTCATGGTGTTTACCATGTGTCAGCTTTCTGCAAATTGAAAAATGAAATTTTAATATAATTCTAATCCACTTTGGTAGATTAGAATTACGAGACTTCTCCTCAATCTCTTTCATTGACAAATTTCTTTCTTTCTAAAACTACACCAAAGATATCATCGAAATATAACTAGAAAGCTTTTAAATTAAATAACCCCTTTAATCTAAAATACTCCTTATTCGTTTATTTATTTTCATCGGATTCACTAAATATAATTGAAAGAGACTATATTGGCACAGTGCTAACAAAAAAGGTCTTTTGTAATACAAGAACATCATATTATCTTAAAAATGCTTCTCAAATTGAAATTCAGCAGATTTAAGAGCTTTTTAACAATGAATATCGCGAATTTCGAGAATTTCTCTCTTTGTCCATACTTATTTACATGAATTAAACTAATATTCCTTTTATTGCAATCAAATTTAAGAAAGGAAGTTCAGCAATAGCTTTAATCGAGTACACAGAATGTTACATACATTCAATTGCTTGCCTATTAACCACCATTTACTTTTACGAAAGTAGGTGCATGACTATATATTTATTTTGCTTGGAAAAAAAAGAATTGCGTTGAAATCCAATTAAGAATTTAAGAAACATAAATCATTTAATTTAATTAATAATTAATCATGAATCATTTTATCTCAATATAAAGTTAACATTTCCACGCAGCGCTTTCAAAATTCCATTAATGTTTCATATTAAATGGTATTCAACGGAATTTGTGAATTGTATGTAGAATCATCAGATACTAAAACAAAAATGATTTGCTTGTTATAATGGTAATAAAACTAATTTCTCTCTAAAAGAATTGTCTGGAAGCTTCATAATATTACATATTAGGGAGTAATTTATTACTAATTTATTCATTCCCTTTGAATTTGACTATATAGTGAATTCACTATCCTAGAAGACCAATTTTCTTTAAGATATTCTAAGTTATATAAATTAAAATAATTTAATTTTAAATCATTAAGAGAAGAAATTTGTGCACAAATTTTACAATTTGTTAAACGAGCCTTGTTGTTACTTTCTTGAAATTTTCGGAAAGTTCATGAACTTACATAAAAAATTAAGAGATTCTAAGAAAAGGTATTATGATTTCATCAAAACAATATTTGAGAGATTTAAATGTCATATTTCTACATCAATTAGTAAATAAAAGGCTTTTTAAAACATTTGAGATTTAGTTATCGCGAAATCGGAATTATATTTTTACCTAACGTACGATTATTTTGAGCCCAAAAGATAAGCATGAATAACGGAAGTGATTTATTTGTTTAAAATTTTACCATCTTAAAGAGGACCCAAATCTAGCTCCATTTATTTTTGAATTAATAAGTTATTTTGTATCGCATATTTATAAAACCTTATCTTTACAGTGCCATAAAGTAAAATTATTTTGAATATTGAATTAATTTAGTGTTTTTGATAATAACTGCAATTTAAAAGTCGCTAAATACACTCTAAGACAGAAAAACACGCATCGAGATCGAGTTATCCGGGTGAGACAAAAATCGATACGTGTGACGTAGATGCACATAAAAATAAATGTGTACAATTTCAGAAATTTGGATTTTTTATTCCGAAGAAATAGCTTTACAAAGGGAACATGTCAATAACTCGTTGATCCAACTCTGGCCCTTATGCAAGCAGTTATTCGTCATGGCATTGACTAATAGAATTATAGGATATCCTTCTGCAGGATATCGTGCCAAATTCTGTCCAAATGGTGTGTTAGATCGGAAAAATCCAGACCTGTTTGGAGGGCCCATAATGTTTCTTATGTTCTCAATGGAGGAGAGATTCGGCGATCTTCCTGGCCAAGACCAAGTGTTCGGGAAGCACGAAGACAAGCAGTAGAAACCATCGCTGTGTGTGTGGAATGGCATAATCGTGGTGAAATATAAGTCCAACTAAGCGAGATATGAAGAGCAACACAACGGGGAGTAGAACGTTGTCAACCTGCCACTGTGCTGTAAGAGCACTGCGGGTGGCAACCAAATGTATCCTACTATTAAATGAAAAGGAACCCCAAAACATCATTTCTGGTTGTCGGGCCGTATGGCGGGCGACAGTCAGGTTGGTATGCTATCGCTCTCCGGGGCGTCTCCAGACGCCAGTTATTGGACCTCATTTCGAAGTGGGAATTCACTGAACACAATTCTCTTTCAATCAGTGACATTCTGGGTCGAATGGGCCCGACACCACTGCAAACGGGCTTGTCAGTGTACTGCGGTCAAAGGTAGTCGGTGCAAGCGGCTCCAGGAATTCAGCCCCCTTTCTCTGAGCAACCCATTAATGGTCCTGGCGGTCATTGAATCACCAAGTGCATATAGGATCGGTAATAATGATGAATGTGAGGCTGTGAGTGCTGCTGTGACGATTAATCGCTCTTCACGTTCTTTCCTCTCTCTAGGCCGACCGCTTCGTTCTTGATGATGTCTTCTGTCTAATAGCGGCATCGGTCCTATCCAAATGTCGAGCGATTCACCGATTAGACCAAGCAGCTTCTTTGAGTCCAATTACAGGGCTTCTGTCATATGCTGACATCTGCGCACATTGTTCGCGCAACTGTTTGCGTGCAGAAGTTACTATCTATCTGAATATACGAAATGAAATTCGTAAAGAATTTATGAGCTGTAATCGATTTTTCTTCTCTCTAATATCCTGCTAGATCCGCAGTCACAATGCGCTACAGTGTCACATTTTCATCCACTGGCCGCCAAGTTTCAAAATTTCCCATTTTTCGTCGAAACCTGTATGCATATCAATTTGTGTTCAATTTTAGCGTTTTTTCTCTCTTAGAGTGTATACTCAAAGAAATTAAATGCTCCTTTAACGTATGTTATCAATTACAGCAATTAATGGTTCTCACCAACCGTTTTTGTTTTTACCGCCACTTAGAGCTGGTGTATCAATTGGTAGACTATAAAATACATAAAATTAATCTCTTAATGTTTGGGAGAGCAAACGCACAGTTTGTAATATCTTCCATCTGTTATTCCGGAATCTAAATGATCAGATTACAAAATGTATGTATTATCCGTTCGTGACTTAACATTTTTCTTTGACTTCATTTAACGGTTTTATGCCTAATCTCCCTTTAGTACAGTTAGTTTACAAACTTTTATGAAAGTATAATTCTGCAATAATTGCTTTTCTGTAGGTCTCTTCCATCGAGCAATAATGCAAAGTGGATCTGCACTTTCTCCGTGGGCCATTGCCAGAGATTCCATCACATACACATTACACATTGCTAGAGTACTTGACTGTCCAGCACAGCACAATACTGCTCTAGTGGAGTGTCTGCGCAAGAGAGATCTCCAGGATATAATGGATGTTGAAATCCAAACTCCTGATTACTTATCTTCATTCGGCCCTACAGTTGATGGTATAGTCCTGCCTCAAGATCCGGCAGAAATCATGGAGAAGAATGCTCAGCTTTTCTCTCAGTATGATCTTATGTTTGGAAACACAAGAGTAGAATCCTATTTCCAGTTTTCGGCAATGGAGGAGAAATTTGGCATTGATAGCGCCAGAAGAGATCGAGTTTTGAGGACGTTGGTTCGAAATCTTTTTACATATCATTTACAAGAGGTACTTAAAAATTTAATGTCCTTTGTGTTATTTAAAACATTTACTGTAATGTTTATAAATATAATTAATGTGTTGTAATTGAATATAATTTAATATTTAATTTTAGCAAAAAACTCAAAAAAAAAAAAGGTCATGTCATCGCACATAAAAATTAATTTATTTGTCTATTTATCGACATTTTTTTGTCTTCAACAGGTTTTGTAATTAAAAAAGATAATTGACAAAGACTACGTGTTAGATTTACCTTGTCTTTCTGTTTCTTCATTCAAAGTATGTACATTGCCACAAAAATTTCCGCACCCCAAACAAAATTGTAAAAATCAAACAAAATTTAATATTGCTGGGAGTTTGATATACGTAACTGACTGCAAAATCATACATTATTACATGAAAAATTGAAAACGAATGAACATTTCAGTATCCATTGGACGGAAATATACATCTCTGACGGAAATATACCATGCGATATTTGAGACCGCATTGATATTCTGCCCTGCGTCTTTTTTATTCTACAATTATTATAACCTCGCTTTTAGTCGATGAATCCTCTAGACCAGAGGTTCTCAACCAGTGGTACGAAAGAGAAAAATAGCTGGTAGGTACGCAAAGAAGTAAAGTATTTTTAACTATTAAATTCAAAAATTAAAACCCAATATCCTGATTGAGTTTTATCCTCTAATACTCGTAAATTTATGCAATCTGAGCTTTGTTCAAGAGTGGTGGTTAGTACTTTGTAGTGGTGATACTACAGGTTTTCAATTTTTGTTTAGATGGTACGCGTCAGTCAAAAGGTTGAGAACCGGTGTTCTAGAGGGAAATGTAATCTATCGCTTAAATCGCACACGATAAGACTATCAGTCCATTTTGTGTTTCAGAAGACGGTTCTTCCAGGTTAAAAGTTTTTAAAACGCTGTCCTAGACTATCCAACTTGTTGTCCTAAGTAATCGCGGGCATGGTCTAGTGGTCACAAATATGGGGGTCGGTAGGCAAGGAAAACTTAATGTGACGGAGATTTTCTTGTGACACCCTTACTATTTGTGGCCCAACATTTTGCTTTCGAGAAGTGCCTCCTGGGAGCCCAGTCATGAGTGACGACATATGGGGCTGAAGGCGTCATGCACCTCACAGCTGAGCTGTCATGGTGACGTGGATAATATTAGAGATGACCGAGTGTCGTATGTGATGGCACCCTATACCATAACGTCAGTTTTGACGTACCACAGCAACCAGTGGGAGTTCTATGTCGTTATGAAATAGCAGAATTTAGGCGTTTTCCGCGTGGCCTCGCTCATGTTTTTCAAAAGTGATAGAAGTGATAATTGTTTATCTCCTGATCATCATAAAAATATGTCTTTATTCTTTTTTATGATATTCAGCCGTCTAATTCCCTACCCTACAGGTATATATGCTTTACTTCACACCTTCTAAAACTTGCTATAAATGAATATATTCGAATAGACGCATACACAGTTTGTTTTTTTCCATAAACATTTGTTTTCAAGTAACATTAATGACACGAAAATTTAATTAAAAGTATCATAAGCTAATATTTACTTTCATGTGTACTTAAAATTGAAACTAAAAGAGAAGAACGTGTAGTTCAAAGTCAAGTACCAATTATTCCTAAAATATGTTGCATAACAATTTGTTTGGTAAATTAGATTTTCTGAATATGTCAACAAAATTTCATTCTTTTTTGGTAAAATATTCATTATCTTTTATTTCTAGATATATCTGACTATAGTGAATGAGTACATGGATTGGTCCAAACCGTTTCTCCATCCCACTGATGTCTTCGATGGTACTATAGATGCTATCGGCGATGGCTTGGTCGTGGCCCCCATCACCCGAGCAGGTTCTTTCCATAGCGGAGGCATACAGAAAGAAAACAGCTACTCTTTCTCATCCTCATTATCAACATCGGGAGTGAAGAAGAGTTATTTTTATGTTTTTGGTTATCAGACGGAGTACGGAGATTATTCTTCAAGGCTCGGTTGCGTCACAGGGGAAGATCTTCCCTACGTGTTCGGTGCTCCCCTTGTAACATCACTCTCACATTTTGCCACAAATTATACCAAACAAGAGTCAACACTTTCCGAGGTTATCATGCTTCAGTGGACCAACTTTGCAAAGTTTGGGTAATACTTACTAAATACGTATTAAATGAAGTCTTTAACTTCTAGAGTCATTTAGAAAGTTTCGATGTCAGGAAATTTAAGAAATTCGCAATGTCTTCGCCTCCTTAACGATGCGAATTCCGGACCTCCCGAATGCGCGTCGAGTGTAATGTGCTTCCAATTATACCACTAAAATATTGCTTGAAAAAGAAGCTCTCAAGTATATATTTTATTGCAGACTAGTTTACTATTTGAGATTATCGTTTAATTTAATAGCTTAATCTTTCTGCTAAACTTTCTTTTTAAATATTGCTTGAAAAAAGTTTTCTGAAGTACATATTTTATTGCAAACTGGTTTACTAGTTGAGTTTATCGTTTAATTTAATGGCTCAATCAGTTAAATTAAATTAATCTATTAAATATCAGCTTTATTCTCTTTGTGTGAAGATTTAAAAAATAAATCGGGTTTTTTCTGTCTTCAGTTATAAATTTCATGAATATGATACTAATGGTATGGATGTATTGACTGCTGTATTTCTTACAACAGTTATAGGTTTCCCAATTTTCAGTAAAGTTTTAATATTAAATGTAATTTTAGGATTTAAGAACAAGAGAGATTGATAATTAAATATTTCTCTAATTCTAACCTGTTAATTAAAGATACCTGCAATTCCTATACTTTCCTGTAATTCGAAAATTTCTTATTTAAGCACGTCATAAGATTAAAGCACGACAGGAAGTATTAAAGCACACGACTGAACATTTTGTTGCAAGCAAAAAATTCGAGATTCTATTCAACCTAAAACAGAATATGTATCATAACGTGAGCATATATTGATTTAAAAGTAATAATATTAAAGAACCTTCTAGTCTGAATATTTTAAGAAAAAAACTATAAACTACTTAATCATAGGTCTTTTAACAAAGTAAAATGACTAAATACATATTTCTACCGTCAGAACGTAGAGAGCACTATATTAAAATGTGCTAATAATTTCGAAGCTGAAACAGCCTGTTTCTTCAATGTAATACATTAACAATGGTATTTATTGCAGCAGCTAAAAACATATCACCTAAGACTATAAAAATCTAAGACTGGCAATTCACTGATAGTTTTTATGTCGGAATCAAAAATTGTACGAAAAGAATTGTATTGTATTCTAAAAGTCAAAACTTTTCTAGCAAAATATACATGGGAAGAAAAAAGTACGCATTTTGAAGGGTTTAAAATCAATGCATTAGAGCTCTATGCAAAATATTAAGGCCGTGTCATTCTAAACATTACTTCATTGCTGCTTGTAAAAATTTAAAAAAGAAAAATGGAATAATTTTAAGTAAAATTTTCTCTAAGGGTATGAAAGCTTCAAAAATCATTTGTGATGCAAATTGAGAAAAGTGAGCCTAGGTAAATTTTAGAATTTCTCCGTACATTTCTTACTCAATTTTACACAGTTCTATATATAGGTGTAATTTGAGTAGTAAAATCCGAAATGGGGAAAAATGGTATGTTACTGCAGAAAAAGTTCGAGTTTGTGTCAAAATGCATATGTAAGAAAAGTGTATATAAATCTATATATATCTTAAATCGCGCTTTCGAGACATGAAAAACACGAGTTTTATCAATAGGACGAATAAAACAATAGAACTGGTCTCTTCTCTTTTTATTTATTTAAAATATTTAATTATTTATTCTGAGTCGTTATACATGGTTTGATAAATTACCCTTTTAAGGGCTTAGCGGAAGTCAACAAGCACTCTAGAATTCCAGTGTTCTTAGTATCGTTGTTGAGTAGTAGAAATTATTCAGTAAAATGTTCACCATGTTCAGCGTTCATTGCAGGGAGAATGAAATGCAGTATATCTGGGGAGGGTAGCAGAAGTAAAGATATATTTTTTCTCAAAAACATGGTTCAAAACAATCTTCATGGCTTCAAACCATAGTTCTTAGCTCTTACGTTAGGCAGCGAGTTACATGGAACACGTTAGACACATAATTTTATTACATTCCTTTATGTTTAAATATCAAATAATGGTCACAAAAAACCTAAATTAGTAAAGAATAGCAATAAATGCTTTTACGATTTAGAGTTTTAAAATGTAGATGCTGCTATATGGAAATTCTGAAATCCTCTTGAAAATAATATTAATTGACGAAAATTGTTGTTATTTCTAGTTACGACTTTTTCTGTAGATTATATCTTTTTAAAGCCTACGCTTAATTTCTTACTAAATAATATAACGAACGAATCTGAAAACAATGAAAACAATTCTCGATTATGTCCTCCGTTCCACTGTTATGTAAAGTTCGGGAAACGAATGTTGTAAAGTTGTAAACGTTGTCATAGAAACGCTGAAAGTTCTTCCACAAAATATTCGTATGGAGCATATGACTTGAATATTTGTACTTAATTTGTTTTTAAATTTATTATGCGTTCCGCCGTTAGGCACTAGGAGGGATGCCTCGTGTATGACTTAAGAGAAAATGGCTCGTATCCGCATTACACATGGGGAAAGCCACTAAAGGCCCATACACCAGCCAGCTTATGTTCTAATAGTGGAACATCGCACGGAGCTGCCAATGTTCAGCGCTTTACCATTGCGCCGCTGGTTTGCCTGGATACTTATACTGATATGAAAATAATTGTTATTCAGTTTTAATTGTAATAGGATACACAAGTTACTCATAATTCTGTAAGTTCGTAAAAAAATTTTATTCGACGTATTGTGCAAAGCAAACATTGCTAATTTGAGGAAATTAAAATGTCAGTTAACAACCACAACTGAATACTACAAAAGTCTGCCATCTTATAAAATGCATTAAGCTGGAGCTTAAAGAAAACTTGGGTACAAACCCTGGACTTAAACGAACCAGATCAGGCAGATATCCCTCTCGTGCCTTACCGTAATTAAATGAACCAAACCATAAAATGAACCAGAATCCATACAAGAGAGAAATAAATGTTATAAGATAATCTACTCTAGAATTAAAGAAAGTATTTTATTAAAGGCCATATTTAAAAAGAATTTATTTACTGTAAATTTGATCAAAAATTTAATGCAGTTAAATAGATTGCTTAAAAATATTTAAGGATTTTCAAAAAGCAAAATTTTCCGAGTAATTGCAGACGTAAGAACTATGCTTTGAAGCCATGAGAATTGTTTTAAATCATGTTTTGAAGCCATAAGAGGAAATAGTTCTTTGCTTTTGCTTGCTCCCTTCCAGTTATCTTGCATTTACAAGATACAAAAAGCAAATTTAATACTGTCAGTCGGATAAGTGTAGAGCAGGAGACACAGAACCTTTTTCTTCTTAGTGAGTTTACATCACAATATCATTCCTTTCATCTTACAAACATTTTTCCCTCAGTGATATTGTAACTATGCATCACAAATTTTGAGTGTTAGGATAATTTCAATTCCTACTTGAAATCAAACACTTAACATAGTTTGATCTATGTGGCAGGGAAAATTAAATATTTATTACATAATATATTACAAAAGTATACATTTTAAAATAACAGTAAAATTTAAAAAAAACTCGAAATTATTTTGATAATGCAACGCCTTTTATCAAATTATGAAATATAAGGTATAACACAATAATTTATAACAAATACACTAACGGTTAAAGTGACAACCGCTCTCTGACTACTAAGCTCATGAAATCATAAGCACTTAATCCTTTTTTTATGCACCGACATGAGCCTCTTCATAAAATTATGCGAAATTTTTAGATTTGATATTCGTTCGAAGAATTTCAGAATAAGTAACAATTCGCATTCTGTGAACAAAATGCTTTGTGTAGCGAATAGAACTCCAAAAAGTTTAAGAATCTATTCTGGAGCTGAAATTCTTGACATGGTGTGCTCCTCTTGCATAGCATGACAATGTATAAGATATATCATTTATACGCTTTGAAGAAAAAGGCAAAAATACTTTTACTTATTTACTTATTTTTTGAACGTTTGCTGTCGAAGCATCTAGTGAATAAAAAATAAAGGAACTTTAGCAGAAGCTGTTATTCAGCGTTTCCTTAAAAAAGCAGCAGTAATATTTGGATTTATATTTTCTAGACAGAATATCTTTATATCTTAAACGTTTTTTGGATGGATATATTCTTCAGCTATTATACTTCATTGACGTCTTTTCGAAACAGGTTTTAGGGTAATTACTGGATGTGTCAAGATACTGTCTGCGATACTTCAAATAATTAATGAGATTTAAGTCTAATATTAGTTAACACAAATGTTGAATTTTTAATGCATTGAGAGATTTAAATATGTAATATATTAAAAATAATTCATCATTAATAATAAAGTGATTTCAGTAATGTTATGTTAAACAAATGAATACGAATAATTTCTTTTTGAAATCTTACTGGTCAGAAAATAAAAACGTTCTTACTAAGAGGTTTTCAGATTGAATAGAATCGTAAATTCCCTTTAAGGTGGCATAATTGAGTTATTTAAACATTCTATGAGGAAACATTAATTAAATCTCTTAATTAAGAAAATTGACTTGAAGCCAGTCTTTCAGTTTTAATAACATTGTAAATATTCCTTAAGACAAAATGCTAAAGTACTTTAAAACATTAATGAAAACATAAATCCATATTTAACATGAATAAAACCGTACTTAACGAAAAATAGGATATACGCTTTGCTTAAATTTACTTGAACGCAAATTATGATATGAATTATATAATAAATTAAACAAAGTTACGCAAATATAAATTTGTGTACGTCTTCAAATATCAAATTAGAAAAAAATCGGACTAAGGTTGGAGGAATTATAAGTAAAGTAAATACATAGTACATCAACGATATTTTGTCCCTAAAAAGCACCTTTTGAGTGACTGGTAATAGGACAATGATTCTTATTTAAAATTTAAATCATAATATCGCCTATCGGAGTAACACGTAATTCATTACGTGATTTTTGTTCAGTAAGTATATAAGGTATTTTCCCCACGTCCCTAACGTGCCTTTGTGGTATAGTGGTTCTGCCGGCTGGGACGGTTT